CTCCTCCTCCCTCCTCGTCCTCCACCTCCACCTCCACCTCCCACCTCCTCCTCCTCCTCCTCCTCCTCCTCCTCTCCTCCTCCTCCACCCCCCCGTCCGTCTTCCTCGTCTTCCTCGTCTCCTGTCTGCCTCTTCTTCCTCGTATTCCTCCTCCTCTTTTCCCCTTCTTCCTCCTCCTTCTCCTCCTCCTCCTTCTCCTCTTCCTGATCCTCCTCCTCCTCCTCCTCTCCTCTCTCCCCCCTCCTCCTTCCCCCTCCTCCTCCATCTTCCTCCTCTTCCTCCTCCTCCTCCTCCCTTCTCCTCGTCGTGATTCCTCTCCTCGTCCTCCTCGTCCTCGTCTCCTCCTCCTCGTCCTCCTGTTCCTCCTCCCCTCCTCCTCCTCCTCCTCCTCCTCCTCCACCTCTTCGTCGTCCTCCTCCTCGTCCCCCTCCTCTTCCTCCTCCGCCTTCCCCCCCTCCTCCCCTTCCTAGTCCTCCTCGTCCTCCTCGACGTCATCGCCCCCTCGTCCTCCTCGTCCTCCTCCTCGTCATCCCTGCCTCCTCGTCCGCCTCCTCCTCCTCGTCCGCTTCGCCTTCCTCGTCTTCCCCGTCCTCCTCGACCTCATCGTCCTCCTCGTCTTCCTCGTCCTCCTCCTCGTCCTCCTCCTCGTTCATCGTACCCATGCGCATGCTCCCACCTCCTCCTCCTCCTCCCCTCCTCCCCTCCATCCTCCTCCCTCCTCCTCCTCGTCATCACATTCATCAACATCATCATCATCATCATCATCATCATCAGCTCATCAGCATATCCATCATCATCATCATCATCATCATCATCAGCATCATCATCATCAACAACATCATCAACATCATCATCATCATCAGCATCATCATCATCAATCATCATCATCATCATCATCATCATCATCCATCATCATCAATCATCAACATCATCACATCATCATAGAATCATCATCACATCAACATCATCATACATCCATCATCCATATCATCATCATCAACACAATCCATCATCATCATCATCATCATCATCATCATCATCATCATCATCATCCATCATCCACAACATCATCATCATCATCATCATCATCATCATCATCATCATCATCATCATCATCATCATCATCATCATCATCATCATCATCATCATCATCATCATCATCATCATCATCATCATCATCATCATCATCATCATCATCATCATCCCGTACCTTTTTCCTCCTCCTCCTCATCCTCTTCAACCTCCTCTTATTCCTCCTCCTCCTCCTCTTTCTCTTGTTTTTGCCTCTTTCTCTTTCTGTTTCTCCTCCTCCTCCTCCGCCTCCTCCTCCTCCTTTTTCCCCTCCTCCTCCACCTCCTCCTCCTCCTCCTCCTCCTCCTCCTCCTCCTCCTCCCCCTCCTTCTTTCCTCCTCCGTCGTCGTCCTCCTTCTCCTCCTTCTCCTCCTTTTCCCTCCTCCTCCTCCTGCTCCCCCCCCCCCCTGCTCCTCCTCCTCTTCCTCTTCCTCTTTCTCCTCCTCCTCCTCCTCCTCCTCCTCCTCCCCCGCTCCTCCTCGTCCTCCTCCTCCTCGTCGTCGTCCTCCTCCTCCAGAATACAGGTGTCTCAGCGCGCTGGCGCCCGTGGTGCCCGGCGGAGGCGCGGCTTCATGCCGCCCCGTAGCGGGCAGGCGGCGCCTGCTCCTCGCCTCGCGGGCGCTCGCGGCGGGGGGCGGCGGCCGGCCGAGGCTCGGGCTGATTTTGGTTGAGCAGCGGTGGTGGAAGTCGCTGCGTCAAGGGGGCGTGCCCCCACGTGCAATGACGCGATCACGCGCGCGAGACGCGTGCAATGACGCGATCATGCGCGCGATGACGCGTGCCTGTGTGACGTTCCTTGATTGTTTGCTTTGCTTGGCCAAACCTTGCGAGGGGGACGTTACGGGGGGACTGACACAGGGGGAGAAGGTTCAATCTTCAAGGCTGGGCGCATCAGGATGGCTGGTGCAGCGCGCCTGGCGGGGCGCATGGCCCCTCACTTCTTCTTCATTTCCCTTACGCATCCTTTCCAATGTTGTAGCCAGATTGAAGCGCTTCCATCGCTGTCACGCTGCTGGGCGAGAGCCTGCCACTAACACCACCCGTGTGAATGTGCATATTTCTTGAATGTGTCCTTCCATCTGAATCACCGTGTCCAGTGCGGCCGGTGGAGCCGCAAGCTTGCGGGAAACGTCTTCGTCTTCGTCTTCCACCATTGAGAATCACGCCATGTTGCTGCTCTGCCAACGTACGGAACATCCTACGTGTTTTTCTTAAGCCCGACGGAAACACACATTCTGGGGCACATCAATTCTCTGTAGTCGGCCCCCTACTCGAAGATTCAATCACCCCGTGGAGGGGGAGGAGGAGGAGGAGGAAGAGGAGGAGGAGGAGGAAGAGGAGGAGGATGAGGAAGAGGAGGAGGAGGAGGAGGAGGA